GAACATACAACCAAGTTTACTGTATCTAGCAAAGTTATCATTCAGAATTGAAGGGCAGATAAAGAGCTTCGCAGATAAGGAAAAGCTAAAGGAGTTCATCACCACCAAACCAGTATTATATGAAATGCTGAAAGGTATTCTTTAAGAAGAGGAAGAAGAAAAAATATAAAAATTATGATCAACAAATACATATATATCAACAAGTGAACCTAAAAATCAAGTGAATTAAAAATTTGAGGAACAGAATAAACTGGTGAATATAAATCAGGGGCAATGAAAGTGAGTGGGTTGATAATTATCAGGGGGGGAAGAGGTTTGAGGGGTGCAGGAAAATACTGGACTAAAAGCATACACCTATAGATGAGGACAATGTGGGGGGAGGTAAGGGCAGAGGGTGGGGTGGGAAGTGTGTGGAAGGGAGCTATGGAGCGGGAAGGAGAAACAATTATAATAACCTAATAAAGATTTATTAAATTAAAAAATAAAGCCAGCAGAACAGATGGAAAAAAAAAAGAATATTATACCAGCAAAGCTATCATTCAAATTGAAGATGAAATGCAGAAACAACAAAAAAAAAGGGCTAAGGGAGTTTATTACTACCAAGCCAGCAATGCAAGAAATGCTAAAAGCACTGCTGTAAAAAGAAGAAATAGGAAGGGAAGAAGAAACATATGCATAAATAATAAAAATGGCAACAAACAATACCTATCAATAACAATCTTAAATGTAAATGGACCAAATGCTCCAATAAAAAGCAAAGGGTAGCTGAATGGATCAGAAAACATGAGCCATATATTTTCTGTCCACAAGAGACCCAACTTAGAACAAAGGACTAACAGACTGATAGTGAAAGGATGGGGACATTTTTTTCAGGTAAATGGAAATAAAAATAACAAGCCAGGGGAGTAATACTTATATCTAACAAAATAGACCTCAAAGTGACAGCCATAACAAGATATAAGGAGGACTGCTTTATAATATTAAAGGGAAGAATTCAACAAGAGGATATAACTCTGATAAACATATATGCACCCAATACAGGAGCACCCAAATACATTTAAAAAAACTTCTGGAAAATATCAAGGGAGAGTTCTAGAGCAATGCAATCATAGTAGGGGACTATAATATTCCATTGATACTACTGGATAAATCCTCTAAACAAAAAATCAGCAGATAAACAGCAATCCTAAGTGACACACTAGAAGAGATGGAATAAACTGACATATTCAGAGCGTGTCACCACAACGATACAGAATATACATTCTTCTCAAGTGTACATGGGACATTTTTAAAGATAGACCACATATTCATACATGGGCAAAGTGTCTTCAAATTAAAGAAGATATAAATCATGTCAAGCATCTTCTCAGATCACAATGCCATAAAATTAGAAATCAACACACAATAAAAACAATGAAAAAATAAAGCATGTATAGGCTAAATAGCATGCTATTAAATAATGATTGGGTAACCTAAGAGATCAAAGAAGAAGTAAAAAGCATCCTGGAAACAAATGACAATGAAAAAACAATAATCAAAAATCTATGAGAGCCAAAACCGGTTTCGCTCAGTGGATAGAGTCTTGGCCTGCAGACTCACAGGTTCCAGGTTCGATTCTGGTCAAGGGAATGTACCTTGGTTGAGGGCACTGATAACTCCTTTTCATTTTTCCAAATAAATAAGTTTTCCCACCTATTTAATTGCCTGTGATACTTGCTTTGTGAGCATTTTTAGACCTTTACCAATATTAGCACACTTGATGGCCTCTGTGTTTTACAAGAGAATAAAGCTGGGGCTAAATGGGATGCTGGCCTCTCTGACAGAGAGACAGTGCCCCAGCCTGCAAGCCCATCTTCATTTTATAGCCAGATTCCAGGAGTCAAAGTACGGGCAGGGTCAATATTTTTACAATGTTCTTGTGGGTTTTGAATCTACTCAATTCCATGCACCTGATCAAGCTTTGTTTATTTGCTGCACCTCTTGCAGCCCATATTACTCAGCCACGTGGTACCACAGGTTCAGACCAGAACTTCAGACTTTGACTATAATTGTGTCACGAGAGAATCATTTCCTCTCATTAGTCCAAGGCTTGAACTTGTCCAAAAGCTGTATCCACTGTCCATAAGAAACACTCGAAGGAATTTTTTAAAGATCATGGGATTTCTGAAAGACAAGAGAGTGATTATCATTAAGATTTCTCAGTTAGGATTCTAGCAGCAGAGATGTCTCAATCTAATTAGGTAATTGGGAGAGAGTCAACTGCATGGTTTCCTACAAGCCGCAGACTCAGGGATGCAAGTGACAAAGTAGACTGCTGGCCACAGTGAGGAAATTACACGATAATCCTAAGGGGGTAAGGCCTGGAACCTACACCTTAGAGAAGGTATGATTTTCAACTAGCATTGCAGCTGGTCAGAGATTAACTTTCAGGGAGAGAGACAAGAGAACAAAAACCCAGACCTTGTTTTGCTACTAAAAGAGATCTCCTGCTTGGACTTCCCATTGGCAAAAGTCAAGAATAAGTCAGAGAGCCAGAGATCCCACTGGTGTTGTTAGATAGCACAAGGGTCAAAATGTATGGGCTATTCTTACTAAATGCTACACTTATTAAACATTAAGTTTATGAGACCTGCTGGAAACAAGATGAGCTCCACAAGAACTCAACAAGACAAATGTAGCCAACAAAAAAAGGAGAGAGAGAGAGAGAGAGAGAGAGAGAGAGAGAGAGAGAGAGAGAGAAGAAGAAGAAGAAGAAGAAGAAGAAGAAGAAGAAGAAGAAGAAGAAGAAGAAGAAGAAGAAGAAGAAGAAGAAGAAGAAGAAGAAGAAGAAGAAGAAGAAGAAGAAGAAGAAGAAGAAGAAGAAGAAGAAGAAGAAGAAGAAGAAGGAGAAGAGAAGAAGAAGAAGAAGAAGAAGAAGAAGAAGAAGAAGAAGAAGAAGAAGAAGAAGAAGAAGAAGAAGAAGAAGAAGAAGAAGAAGAAGAAGAAGAAGAAGAAGAAGAAGAAGAAGAAGAAGAAGAAGAAGAAGAAGAAGAAGAAGAAGAAGAAGAAGAAGAAGAAGGAGAAGAAGAAGAAGAAGAAGAAGAAGAAGAAGAAGAAGAAGAAGAAGAAGAAGAAGAAGAAGAAGAAGAAGAAGGAGGAGGAGGAGGAGGAGGAGGAGGAGGAGGAGGAGGAGGAGGAGGAGGAGGAGGAGGAGGAGGAGGAGGAGGGAGGGAAGGGAGGGAGGGAGGGAGGGGAGGGAGGGAGGGAGGGAGGGAGGGAGGGAGGGAGGGAGAGAGGGAGGGAGGGAGGGAGGAAGGTGTAATTGACCACAAATAGTGTGAAGAATGGATAAGCCTTTCCCTCTGGGGAGACAGAGCTTTTGATATGAATCCCCTGTCTCCTTAACTTCCTACAAGTAAATAAAACTACCCTGTGACAACCATGTCTCCTTCTGGAATAGGACACCCCAAGTGGGGAAGCCCTTAAGTATAGTAACAATAGGATCCACATAAATCAGCCTCCTGGGATAAAGAGCAAGGATGAAGGAGAGCAAAGCCTATATCTACAGATGGAAATCAAAAATATTTAGCAGATTAGATATTTTTAAGTTACAGTAGGGACATTTTAGGGTGGTACCTTAAAAAAAGAGAAAGAGAGAACATCAAGAAGAGAATTTAGGAACTTACAAACATCCACTTGTTACCAGACAGGTACTGGCCCATAGTGTGTGAGTTCTTGACTTGATGCAGGAAAGAGGATGCTCATTAAAGCTGCGGACAGTGAAATAAAAGAAGGGTTTAGGATAGAAGAAGCAACAGCAGAGAGCCTAGGTGGGGCTGCTTTGGCTCTAGAAATATTATAGGAAAGAAGTGAGCCAAGGTGGGACTGCTTCAGCTCAATGGGAAGTCAGAGAAAAGGGGGCCTTGGAGACAGGATCAGGTACTGAGGCTGGGTACCACTGCCCACTGTTCCCTGGTTGCACATCCCTCATGGGATCCACAGAGTTTAGGGAGAAATAAAAAGTTCATGCCTGGTATAGGGCATGGGCTTGTGCAAGAGCGAGTTTTTATCTTGAAGACATTTTATCCTTTTTCTTTCCAATCAGCTTCCCAGGTGCATTTTTAATATGCTGATGCATCAAGATAAGTGCATAGCCGAATCCTGTTTGGCTCAGTGGTAGAGCATAGGTCTATGGACTGAAAGGTTCCAGGTTTGATTCCGGTCAGAGGCATTTATGTTGATTGTGGATACATGCCCAGTAGGGGGTGTGCAAGAGGCAGCTGGTCGTTGTTTCTCTCTCATTGATGTTTTTAGCTCTCTCTCTCCCTTCCTCTCTGTAAAAAATCAATTAAAATTTTTTAAAAAGATAAGTGTATAGGTGAGTTTTGGATTATTCTTTTGTCTGTTTCACTGCATTATTTTACCTTAATTGTGCCTGGTTTTGATGTGGTTTTTGATATTTTTCCCTGACTTCATCTGCCCTTGGGTTTAGCTGGCACAAATGGCATGAATTGAGTTTTTGTGCTCTACTTCCCAGACCAGTCTGATTTAAACTATGCATTCTCTAGTTAGGGAGGAGACGTATAAACCATTTGCTAACAAGTGCCCCTGGTTGGGGAAGATAAGGTTTTGTGATAAACAAACTGGCTATAAGCTGCCCATCTTCTCATCTCAGTTTTCTTATTCCATTCATCCAGGAATTTTCCTAGCTTCTTACTCTCCTGCCTCACATGGACCACAGAGTCATCTTGCTGGGGAAACCAACTGCTTCACTAACAAGGTGCACACAGACATGAACTGAAAAAATGTGCCTGCTAACATTTGAAACATGAAGGATTTCTGATTTGAATTTTCCTAAATTTAGTCTATGAACTCTTCATAATATATTATTGCCTGATTATGCCAATTCTGTAACTTCTTCCATTTGTTAGCATTGTGGGTATTGGTGGTGAGTGAGCAGGGAAGATGCTGGGGGTTACTATCACAGAATAACAAACCATCCCAAAGCCTAGTAGTTTAAATCAACAAACTTTATTTTTCTCACAAATCTGCAATCTGGGCAGGATGAAGTGGGGGTGGCCCATCTTTGCTCTTTGCAGCTTCATCAGAGGTGGCTCAGTTGGCAGCTGGAGAATCTGCTTCCATGTTGCCTCACTTGCATGGCTGGCAACTTGGTTCTGCTGGAAGATGAAAGACCAGCCAGGGGAGTGGGCCAGTGGCTTCAAGTCCTCTTCACATGGCCTCTCAATGGGCAACTGGGGCTTCCTCACCACATGGTTGCCAAGTGCCAAGCCCACAAACACTAGGGAACAAAGAGGCATTTTTCCTATCTCACTTTTGAAGTCACAACCACACACTGATTGTCAAAACAGTCACAAAGTTCATTGATTTTCAAGTTAGGGAATAAAATTCAACGGATGGAAAAATAAACTCAGATTACAAAAAAAAAAAAAGGGTGAGATAGAATACATTGTTGTAGTCATCTTTGGAAAACACAATTAACCACATTAACAAATCATACTAAATTAAGAAATGAAATTTACATTATTTCAAAACATATTCCATATTTTTGAAAGTGTATTCCAAATTCAATTAACAACATCTTTAAGTATATTTCTTTCAGCTTCTTCCCTAATATTTTTAAATTTATTCATTATAGTTCTCCAATAAGAATATTTTTTTCTTCTTCATTGCTTCCTTTGATATTTTTGCCTCAGCACATTGCTCTTTAAGTAGTTTAGTTTCTTTCTGTAATTGATCAGCATAGATTTTCTTCAAGGCCTCTTCCTGACTTTGCAGCTTTTCCCCTATTTCCATATAGGTGGCATCAGAAAATGAGCCCCTCCATTCTCCTGTACCACTTCCTCTATCAGCTTCATCAGCTCCTGCAGTTGAGCTTCCTTCTCAGCCTCATTTGTGCTTTTGTTATTGAAGGCACAGCAGCGGTTCCCACACTCCTTGATGAGGCTTTGCAGGTTTACCTCTGATGCTTCTATAAACTCATGCAGTGTGATATCACCCAATTCATCTTTGTGAGTGAACAAGATGATCATGTGCTTCATGACTGACTTGCCAAAGAGGTTCTCGATCAATGCAACTGTTTTCTGCTCCTCTTCCATGTAGCGGCCCACGTGTAGAACCAGGATGATAGCGTGGGGCCCAGGGTAGGAGTAGAGAGCACACTCCCTGATATGCTTACAGGTAGTCTTCAGGGTCTCCTTGGTGTCAAAGAGCCCTGGGGTGTCCACGACAAAAAGTTCCCTCCCCTTCCAGTGTTGGATTACTCTGACATTTTCTGGTAGTAGGGAAAAGACCAAATTTAGATTCAAATGCTTTTCTGCCAAGGATGCTGTTTCCTGTTGCACTTTTTCCACTTCCAGTTTTCCCCACCAGAACAATCCTCAGAGTGTTGTCCTCAAGGCCAGCCATCTTCTTTCAAGAGGCTCTAGGGTGCAGGTACCAATAAGACCTCAAGGGAGGGAAGGAGGAGGGAAAAGGATACTTAGGTAAGTGGGGACCATTCTCAAACCTGTTTTCTTTGTTCTTGTCCTCCATGAAAATTTGTAATCACCTATTGCTCATCTGGAGGAAATAATAAAGCAGAGTTTTCCCACAAAAGAGTACCATGTCCAGGTGCTTTCACAGGGGAATTCACTTAAACCTCTACAATGCTGATCATCTCAATATTATGTAAGATATTTTTGATAATTTAAAAAATAGGGATATCTTTCAATTCTTTTTATGAATCAAGTGTGATTTTGATTCTAAAGGATAACAGAGATTTGACCAATAAATAAAGCTATAGACTGTCTCATTTGGAAATATTAATATCAAAATTTGTAGTTACAACACATCTTATTAATAGATGAAATAGAAAATTACCCAGTGCAGTCAAGACATTTGACGAAATTAAAAACTAATCCATGTATTGGGCAGAACAGCATCAAATTCAAAGTCTGTCTGACTACCCTCTTCCCTCCTAACCACTGCACACAATGGCCTCCTTCAGTGTCTTCTCAGAATTCTAAAATTACATCAAATCACAGCTAGATCAAGAGAGCACAGGGAAGAGAGTCCACACTCTTTCCAGAACAGAACACTTTTAGGAAACCTGTAACTAGGGACATTAACTGGAGGGTTTCACATACATTGTTCCTGAAGAATAGCCAAACCTCTATGGCTATTGACATAGACATAGACATCCCCTCCTCACCTCACATGTCACGCTGCTCAGGTCAGTGCTTCTCTCTGCTAAATGATGGAAAGGATTCAGAAAACTGCAGTGCAGATTTCCTATCACCTTAGTGACATGGTAACCCATAGGATCACCACACTCCCTGGGATCCTGCTTTTATTCATAAAAAGAGGGAGTTAGACAAGTCAGTCTTTATATTGCCTTCAAGCTCAAAAGACCTGCCTAGGGGACATTCATTTCCTATTCAGGGAAAAGGAAGGCTTGTTAGGCAGCTCTCAGTGTCTATCACAACAGTAAATGCATGAAGGTGCACCAGTCAGCACAAATGTGTCCTGTTCAGTATGAGACATGTAACATTGTGCTAATAACACTCCTGACTCCCCACCCTACCCTCCTTCACTACCCTCAGATAGCATCCCCCCTGCTGTGCTTCGGGCACAGAACCTGGTCCTTCCTGGGACAAGAACCCATACCATGAACACTCACTCCATGGACCTACTGCCCAAACAACTCTAGTGGTCAGGGCTGCTTCTCAGCCAGACTCACCTTCTTTTCAACCAGTTGGTGAATTCTCAGATTTTTGCCAAAGACACTCTTCCAGCTGGTGCTTTTGTTTTAACTGTGAAGAAAAGTTGTTTACACCCTCTGAAATCATAGAGGCAGGAAGCTCAGATTGGGTGGAGTCAGTGGTGGAACTGTTTGCTTTTAAAGAGACAGTAATATTTCCCCTAATTTGGAGAGTGCTTCAGTTTTGCAAAGTTGAAACCTTTTCCTCCATATGCTTGCTCTTGTACCAAAATTACCAAAGCTATATTTGGCTGTATTTGGTGTTTTTGGTTATAGTAGTGGATCCAAAGGCCCTTATTAAAGTACATAGATCTTTAAAACACACACACACACACACACACACACACACACACACACAAATAAACACACAAACAAACAAACAGGTACAAGTGTCCTTCACCTTCCCTGGTACAGTGGGTGACTGTGAGGTCATCTGGAAGAAGAAAGTTGAACATGGGGCTTAGAAGATTCGCGGATCTTGCTAGTGATGGTATAATATGGGTTTTGATCCTACTCTTTCAGAAAGGTCTCAAGCTACTCATTCAAATATTAACAAAACTCAGATATACAAAGACAAAGGGGTATTAACCATTGGGAGCCAAGTAGAAAATAGGAAAGAGAGGCCTGGGGAAAGTCTTCCAATGATCACAATCTCTCTGTTTTGTTTATTTATTTCTTTGTTTCATATGGTTTTACATGGTTGAAAGTCTACATTACATGACACATAAAGATGCACCTAGAAAGTAGATGCAACCTTCCCTCCCAGCCTTTCTACCTTCTCCTGCTCCAGCCCTGACAGAGGCAACTTATCTTAGATTTACCAGTGGATGGTTGCAAAAGGATTTAGAAATTACTTTCAGGTGAGAGGCAGACTATGGAATCTCTCATGGTTGACAAGATGTTCTAGTTGTCTGTTCCATCACCAAAAAAAAACATTGAATTTTTTATTATACACTAGGGACCTGGTGCATAGATGTATTGCATATTGAAAGGAAATTAATTAGAAGAAGGCCAGGGAGTGATTGGGGAGACTGGCTTGCCAGGGAGGACCATAGGAGGGCTCCAGGACATATCTGGCCATCTTTCCCAGTCTCAATGAGACAGACCCCAGCATAAAGCTAACCTACCAGACACAGTGTCTGCCGCCTGGTAGTCAGTGCATGTCATAGTGACTGGTCTAAGAATTGAATGGTCTGACACTTAGTATATTAGGCTTTTATATATATACTAGAGTCCCAATGCACAAAATTAATGCATGGGGGGGGGGGGCAGGGGATGTCCCTCAGCCCAGCCTGCTTCGTCTCTATTCTGGAACCCCTCCAAGGATGTCCAACTTCCCGTTTAGGCCCAATCCCAGTAAAATAGGGCCTAAAAAAGAAATCAGAGATCTCTCTCACAATCCAGGACTACTGGCTCCCAACTGCTCGCCTGCCTTCCTTCTTGATTGCCTCTACTTCTACCTGCCAGCCTGATCACCCACTAACCACTCCCCTGCAAGCCTGATTGATGCCTAACTGCTCCCCTGCCAGCCTGTTTGCCCCTAACTGCCTTCTCCTGTAGGCCTGGTCACCTCTAACTGCCCTCCCCTGAAGGCCTGGCCCCCACAACTGCCCTTCTTGCAGGCCAGGTCACTCCCTACTTCTCTCCTCGGCCAGTCTGGTCACCCCTAACTGCCCTCCCTTGCAGGCTTGATCATCCCCAACTGCCCTCCCTTGCAGGCCTGGTCCCTCCCCACTTCCCTCCTCTGCTGGCCATCTTGTGACTGCCATCTTGTGTGTTGGAGTCATCTTGTGTGTTGGAGTAATGGTTAATTTGCATATTATTCTTTTATTATATAGGATTAGATAGGATAGAGGTCTGGTGCATGGGTGGGGGCCAGCTGGTTTGCCTTAAGATTGTCCTGGGTCAGGGTGGGGGTTCCCTTGGGGCATGGGGTGGCCTGGGGAAAGATCCTGTGGTGGTTTGCAGGCCTGCCACACCCCTTAGCAACCCAGTGGAGGTGTTAGTATCAGGGATTTATTTATCTTCTATAATTGAAACTTTGTAGCCTTGAGTGGAGTCAAGCCTTCTGCTCACTTCATGGCCACAGCCATTTTTGTTGGGATTTATTTATCTTCTATCATTGAAAGTTTGTAGCCTGGAGTGGAGGCCTGGGCCCTCCAGGGCAGGTGGAAAGCTAAGCTTCCTCCATCTCTGGGGCAACTCAGGCTTCCTGCTCTCTCCAGCTCCATGGCTGCCACCATTTTTGTTGAGATTTATTTATCTTCTATCATTGAAACTTTGTAGTCTAGAGTGGAGCCCTCAGCCGGTCAGGACAGGCAGAAAGCTTGGCTTCCTCATCTCCAAGGGCAACTCAAACTTTCTGCTCTCTTCAGCTCTGTGGCTGCCAACATTTTTGTTGGGATTCATTTATCTTCTATCGTTAAAACTTTGTAGCATTAAGTGGAGGCCTGGGCTGGCAAGGGCAGGTGGAAACCTTAGCTTCCTCCATTGCTAGGGAGACCCAAGTCTCCCTCCTGTTCTCTTTGTAGCCACAACCATCTTGGTTGGCTTTATTTG